CAAAATTGATGGCAACCATAAACTAAAGTTTAGTAAAGATTGCCAAAGGAGGGAGTCAGGCTGCGCCCTGACCAAAGGCCTGGTGGAACATCTCTGTCTTGCAGGCCCTGCGGAAAGATGTCAAGTCCTGCAGGGCCCTTGTCTCTTGTGACAGAGTGTTCCACCAGGTTGGAGCCGCAGCCGAAAAAGCCCTGGCTCTAGTTGAGGCCAGCCTAACCTCTCTGTGGCCTGGGACCTTCAAGATGTTTTTATTTGAAGACCGTAAGTTCCTCTGTGGGGCATACCAGGAGAGGCGGTCCCGTAGGTACGAGGGTCCTAGGCCGTATAGGGCTTTGAAGGTTAAAACCAGCACCTTAAACCTGATCCTGTACTCCACCGGGAGCCAGTGCAGCTGGTATAGCACCGGATGAATGTGATCTCGCAGCGAAGACCCCGTAAGGAGTCTCGCTGCGGCATTCTGCACCCGCTGGAGTTTCTGGGTCAGTCTCAAGGGCAGCCCCACGTAGAGCGAGTTACAATAATCCAGTCTGGAGGTGACCGTCGTGTGGATCACAGTGGCTAGGTCAGGGCGAGAGAGGTAAGGAGCCAACTGCTTAGCTTGGCGGAGATGAAAGAATGCCGCCTTTGTTATAGCTGCAATCTGTGCCTCCATGGAGAGGGAGGTATCGAAGATTACACCCAAACTCTTAACGGACGTGCTGGCACTAATTGCACCCCCGCAAGAGATGGGAGTTGCCCCCTCAATCCCATATCGTCCCGTCCCAGCCAGAGGACCTCTGTCTTCGAAGGATTTAACTTCAACCGGCTCCCACGTAACCATCCAGCCACAGCTTCCAAGCATCTGATCAGTGTGTCTGGGGCCGAGTCAGGATGGCCATCCATCAACAGATAGAGTTGGGTGTCATCAGTATACTGATGGCAGCCCAGCCCAAAACTCCGGACAAGTTGGACGAGGGGGCGCATAAAGATGTTAAAAAGCATCGGGGAGAGTATTGCACCCTGGGGCACTCCACACACCAAGGAGTGGCGGTATGACAATTCCCTCCCAAGCGCCACCCTCTGTCCCCGACCAGAGAGAAACGAGCGCAGCCACTGAAGGACTGTGCCCTGGATCCCCACGTCGGCAAGGCTGTGGTCCAGGAGTTCGTGATCGACCATGTCGAAGGCTGCTGACAGGTCTAGAAGAATCAGCAGCCCCGACCCGCTTCGATCCAGCTGCCTGCGGAGATCATCTGTTAGATGATCTCCGACCAGAGCCATCTCGGTCCCATGACCAGCGCGGAATGGATCCAGAGCCGATGTTTCATCCAGAAACCTACCAAGCTGTTCAGCAACCGCTCTCTTACCTTACCCAGGAATGGAAGATTCAAAACCGGGCGGTAATTGGATAGATCCGAGGGATCTAATGATGTTTTCTTTAAAAGCGGGCGCACCACTGCCTCCTTCAGTTCCCCTGGGAATGTTCCCCAAGGGACAAATTGTTGATATCCCCCAGGGGGGCCCGCACCTCGTCTGGACACGCTCTAATCAGCCAAGACGGTCACGGGTCCAGAGGACAACTGGTGGGCTTTCCAGCTCAGAGGAGTCTGTCCACATCAGCTGGGGATATCCGGTCAAAGTGGTCCAATACTGGACCCGAGGACAGTCGAGGGGCCTCCAGTTCCTTTATTGTATCCAAATTGGCAGGGAGGTCATGGCAGAGCAACAGGACCTTCTCTGCAAAAAAGCTCGCAAATGCCTCACAGCTGTGTGCCAAATTGTTATTTAAATTTGGCTGTCCTTCGAGGGACGTTAAAGACCGAATTATACTAAATAATTGTGCCGGGTGAGAGCTAGCGGATGCAATGGCGGCCGAGAAGTAGGACTTCTTAGCGGCCTTCACTGCCATCTCGTAGGTTTTCATAAAAGCCCTATAAGATGTTCTTGAGGCTCCGTCACGGGCACCCCGCCATACTCGCTCTAGCCGTCTGAGGTCCCGCTTCATTTTCCGGAGCTCCTCGGTAAACCAGGGAGCCCGGTTTCTGCGGGGTCGCAGAGGGCGCTTAGGTGCGATCTCATTGATGGCTGCCAGGAGCTGGGTATTCCAGCCCTCAACAAGCTCAGTCAATGAGTCGCCAAGGGGAGAAAGGTCCCGCAAGGCTTGACAGAATCTATCAGGGTCCATCAGCCTCTGCGGGCAAGCCCAAATCGGCTCGCCACCTAAGCAGGGTGGGGGTGGAACGTCAATCCTGGCTTTCAGAGCGTAGTGATCAGACCATGGCACCTTCATCGAAGGAAACATGATCACATCTATACCGACGCCAAAGATCAAATCCAGCATGTGGCCTGCTTGATGTGTGGGGCCCGAAACAAACTGGGAGAGCCCTAGTGTCGCCATGGAAGACACCAGGTCCAGAGCCTGTGAGGAGGGAGTGGCATCAGCATGGATGTTGAAGTCCCCCAATACCAATAGGTTAGGGAACTCCAAGGCCCAGCTGGCCACCGCCTCCAGCAGGCCTGGCAGGGTGGCTGCTGGTGTGCTAGGTGGCTGGTACACCAGCCAGACAGCCAAGCTCACCTCGGAGCCCCACACTAGGCCAACACATTCAATGCCGGGGATCGGTGGCAATGGTAGAGCCCTGAAAGAACAATCTTCCCAGATTAATAATGCCACCCCTCCCCCCCCGGACCACAGTCCGCGACTGGTGGAGGACGGAGAAACCCGGAGGCGCCATCTCTCGTAAGGTAACAGTATCCCCTTCGCACACCCAGGTCTCCGTTTGATTGTAGGATTTACCTTTTAACATGAAATATATTTTACTGCATTAAAAATGAACTATATGCACATAGGATGCCTTTTTAAGACAAAGAGAGGATGCATGGGCATGGGGTACATGATGCCAGGACTAAGCAAACAAAAACAATTCCATTGTGCCTTCTCCCACACATTTAGCACATACATGGAAACAAAGCGTGTTCTCCTTCCTGGAGAGCACGTGTTGCGGTGGGGTCTGGCATGCCACCGCCTTGTTGCTGGGCAGGATCATTTGGATAGCCATTAGTAAGGATTGGGTAGTTTCCTGTTACTAGGGAAATGTTGATGTTGCCACTTAAGGGGAAGGGCTAAAAGGTTTTAAATGTAAGATACGCAGCACTGACTGTTCTCTTTGCTGCGTGCATCAGAACACCCGCCCACCCTCCCTAGGTATTGGTCTTTGCGTTGACCTTGCTATGCCTGTCATGGGGTCGTCTGCTTTTGGGGCAGGGGCCTGGTAAAAATTTTGTCCAGTTGACTGATTGGCTGGTGCCATCTGGTTTTTGCCTACTGAGTAGCAAATCGTCACAACTTGTAAGGTTGCAGTTAGGCATTGGTTAAAGAATTGGTTGGTGGAGGCGTATGGATTGGCGGTGCCTGCCCCTCCAATGCTGCTGCTGCAAGGGAATTCCATTAAAGGAATCTAGGGGCTTGCCTTCCTTTCGTCCAAATCCCTGGTTGGGGCTTGGCCTGTGCAGGCCCCTGGGAGCATGTGGGGGGGAGGTGAGGGTCTGGTGCCCGGCTCCATGCTCTCCCCAATATTGCTTTCCCTGACTGGCTTTCGCTGGAATCCAGAACTCAGTCCTGTCCCAATGGCTGTGACAGATAGTCGGAATCAATGCCTAAGCAACCACTCACTTTTATGTATTTTAATAAAGTTGTGGCCAAAATTATGCCAAAAACCTTAAACAAAAATTATGTGTGAATTGTGATTTATTGGGGGGTGGCTTGTGGGATCTCGACATGCAAATATCTGACAGCTAGTGTGGATGTGTGTTTGTACAGGAAAACCTAGGTTCCTGATGGTATTTATTAGGCATAAGCAGGATGAGTTTGGTAGTAGGAGATTGCTGTACCAGGTAATAGGATTGCTGTACCAGCAATCTGATACAGTAAACTTAAGATCACAGGTACAATGAGATCTTATGCAGCTGACAGAATCGGCTGGCCCCAGAACATGAGTGAGTCAACATGAGTTATGTTTCTGGTCTCCAGTATGGTTAGAAGAGCTGATGCTATCTCCCAGGGACAGGAAATCATGTCCAAAACATGTCCAAGGTTTGTGTGTTTAATACTATTGCTCTAAAGGTCCAGTAGTGATTGCAACTAGGGGCAAAATGGTGGCTCAGTGGGACACAGAATTAAGGAACAGGGTGCCCCCGAGAACATGTTTAGTCCAGGAGTTTGTTCTCAGTAGCAGAATCGACTTCATAGTCCTTTCACACAACAGGCCACTCCCAGTTCTCCACCCATCCAGCCAGCCCAAGCTTTCTTGATTTCAGCATCTTCATTTAAAAGCAAAGAGGGAGGCGAGTCCCCTTCTCACTTAAGAACCCCTTAGCACTCTACTGCAAAGCAGCAAAAGATCTGTCAGTAGATTCTAATCTAACTTCTGCCCACCACTTATCTAAATGGCACTGCCACATTCCTGTGGAATTACTATACATGCATGCTGTGTGGCCCTGTCTTACTGTAAATATGTGTCAGGTGCCCAGAAACACAAGGACCTTGCTAAAGGAAGCAAGAGGACATAAATAAATCCTTCAGTTTCTTGCAATTCTCAGAATGAATTGTGGATCATAATGAGCCAGATTTGTTCCTGGCTGTGCTACTATAAATTAGAGGTCATCATTTTTTTCAGGGACAAGCTCACACACGTATGCTTGACACATGATGCTGCAATATCAAGTAGTAATTTGCATGTGGAAAGCTATTCTTATCAGAAGCACGTAGCTCATCACTCCCTAGAAGCAACTGTCTCCTTGTTCAGTTCCTCTTTTGTGCTGTGTCTTTAGACGGCATTATAAGTCATAATGCCTTGTTCTGTAATCCACTCTTGGAGCCTTTTCAGCTGAAAAGCAGGGTAAAAATGCATTAAACAATTAATTAATGGCCAGTTCATGGATTCAAATGATGGACATCAAATAGTAAACTGAATGATGGCATACTGAGAAATTTTCATGAGAATCAATATTTATTCTTTTTTCAAAACGAAACCTGACTGTAAATTCATATCTTCCAGGCTACACTAGGTAAAGAATGCCTTCTCTTTGACAGCCCCCTCTTTGAAGGTGTCCTATGCTTGAGAGCTATCCAGTTCAAGCCTGATTTGAAGATAAGAAACAATATGAACACTTCAACAATACCAACACTTAGCATCACCCGATCAGAAGACTAAGCAGGCACACAAATCACCTGATATCTTCCCCACTAGGGTTAGATTATTTCATTTCCATTAAAATTGTATTAATTATTTCTAAATTTGCACCTGTACTTATAAATTACACTATCTAGGTGTCACTACAAATGTTCTGCATGAAAATAGCATGTGATTACATTGAATGGACAATTATAAATCACTCTAAAGCATGCCTTAGTCAATTAAAGCTCGGTTGTAAGCCCATACAAAGACAAATCATATTAACAAAGTCTTCCAGATAATTTATGGATACCAATAGGCAATATGCCTCAGTTTTCACCTCTACAATGGATGCCTATTTCTGAAAGTGGGTACTCTGAGAAGTGCCCACCTCCTCATTACTAAAAAATAACCCCATTTCAAAAAAAAACAGGTGAAATCATACGGATATGGTGTTCCCTATGGTCAATGTAAACCATTGTGTGTTGATTTTTATGGGGAAATAAGATTGCCCTGAACCTTTAGATGATATGCACCAATAATGATATGCACCCGCCCTGACCTGGCCACAGTGATCCATGCGACGGTCATCTCCAGGCTTGACTACTGTAATTTGCTCTACGCGGGGCTGCCCTTGAAGCTGACCCAGAAACTCCAGAGGGTGAAGAATGCTTCAGCGAGGCTCCTCACGGGGTCTCTGCCATGGGAGCATATTCATCCACTGCTTTTCAAACTGCACTGGCTCCCGGTAGAGTACAGGGTCAGATTTAAGGTGCTGCTTTTGACCTTTAAAGCCCTTCACGGCCTAGGACCCTCGTACCTATGGGACCGCCTCTCCCGGTATGCCCCACGGAGAGCCTCAAGGTCCATAAATAGCAACACCCTAGTGGTCCCGGGCCCTAAGGAAGTTAGATTGGCTTCAACCAGAGCCAGGGCCTTTTCAACTCTGGCTCCAGCCTGGTGGAACACTCTGTCTCATGAGACCAGGGCCCTGCAGGATTTGACTTCTTTCCACAGGGCCTGTAAGACAGAGTTGTTCCGCCTGGCCTTTGGCTTGGAGCCAATTTGATTCCCTCCCTCCCTCTCTTTCTTTTTCCTTTCCTTCTCCTCCTGCGATGAGGCTACATTTTAATATTTTAATGTTTCAATATTTTAATGTTGTATTTTAATTTTGTTTTTAAGTTGTAATCATTCAACTTGTTTTTATTATTGCTTGTAAGCCGCTCTGAGCCCGGCCTTGGCTGGGGAGGGCGGGGTATAAATAAAAATTATTATTATTAATAATAATAATCTGCCCCAAAGAGCTGGGAGTGGATATTCCAGTGTACTACTGGGGGGCATACAGGGAGTTACAGAGATAAGCAGAGGCAAGACACCTCACACTGCATATTCATGTGCTGTTCAGTGTTTCCTCATGTGCAGAGCGGTATAAGACAGGCACAGGAGAAAAACAAGCAAGTTTCTTTTAGTGCAACAGCAGCTGGAAAGAGAGAGGGCTTCTTCATTTTAACTACAAAAGGTGGTTTGAATTGGCCGACATGAATAGCAAATCACAAGAAAAATATTTGCAAGTGTGCATTAATAGGCTGACTTCCTGACCACAGACCTAATGTCAAAAGGAATTGTTTGCACTAGCCCTCTAAGCTTGGTTATTTGAAATGACATATGTCTGAACCCAGAAGGCTGTATAGCAAACAATGCCCTGTCATATAATATGACATATGCATGTACTCCGGCTATGGAGCCGCCACATTAATAAGGGCTCTTTAGACAGAACGGATGAGTTCTCTATTTATACAGTACCCTTTAAAGCAAACATTTTCTGCTTCTTTTAAGCCTTCTTGTCACAGGAAAAACAAACAAGGCGCTACAAGAAGACCAAACGATTCTCAAATCATGCCAAGCTGTGAGGATGCTTCCCAACTCTTTATTTTAATTCTTTTCTCAAAAACCTATTTTAATACAAACATGCATTTTCAAAGGACTCTTGGACCAAGATTGGTATAGTATCTGGTAGTAGTTTGTTTTGCTTTCATTTTGTTATTTTTAAAAGCATCCTGGACACTCTCCGAAGGCTTTCTTTATCCTCTTCCAATTTATCATTTATCGTTGCTTGTTGTTATCACTACTGGTTAGACTTAGTCGTTTGCCACCTAAAACATCCCCAAGCAACTTACATTTAAAAACATAAACATAAATGCATTAACATTTTCATGCAACATACAAAAAAACCCCACCCACTCATCCCAGTAACAGCCAGGGTATGCTTTGGCAACACACGGCTGAGTAAAAGGAGAAATCCTTGATCAGTGACTGAAGACATGCTTTGCTTACAGGAAGTCCCAGGGTTTGGTCCCTCCCATTTGCAGTTAAAGAAGGAGCTTCAGCCAATCGGATTACACAAAACTGCACCAGGTGGGTAACTTTTCTTTTGTCAACAGCTTTTCCCCTGGCGGGTGGGGATATCTGTTGGAATCTGCATGCCAGCAATGAGTTTTGTTGTTGTTTAGTTGTTTAGTCGTGTCTGACTTTTCATGACCCCATGGACCAGAGCACGCCAGGCACTCCTGCCTTCCACTGCCTCCCGCAGATTGGTCAAACTCATGTTCGTAGCTTCGAGAACACTGTCCAACCATCTCATCCTCTGTTGTTCCCTTCTCCTTGTGCCTTCAATCTTTCCCAACATCAGGGTCTTTTCCAGGGAGTCTTCTCTTCTCATGAGGTGGCTGAAGTATTGGAGCCTCAGCTTCAGGATCTGTCCTTCCAGTGAGCACTCAGGGCTGATTTCATGAGTTTAGCCAGAGTCAATTCTGAGTGGAGTCAGAAATAAAAACCACTCAGCTTCCATTTTCATCATGGCTACCTGAGATTAGAATTCCAATGTAGGTCTGTTCAGAAGGAAGTGTCAATGAGATTGAGGGTACTACTCTCTCACACATTCAGAAGATAGCTCAGTTGGTTAAGAGTGTGGTGCCAATGTTGCAGGTTCTAGCTCCATATGGGACAATTGCATATTCCTGCATTGCAGGAGGTTGGACTAGATCAAGGTTTCCCAAACATGGGTCTCTGTCTGCTTTTGGACTACAAATCCCATCATCTCTACCTAGTTAGTTAGCATTAGTTCCCATTTAAACCTATTGGATGTAATTTATGGCTAGCCTGTCCCATTGATTTCAGCAGTATTTAAGTTTAGCTAACCATCTGGATCCAATTCACTGTCTATAGCAGGGTTTCCCAAACTTAGGCCTCCACCTGTTTTTGGACTACAACTCCCATCATCTCTAGCTAGCAGGACCAGTGGTCAGGGATGATGGGAATTGTAGTCCAAAAACAACTGGAGACCCAAGTTTGGGAAACCCTGATCTAGTCCCATCATCCCTGACTACTGGTCCTTCTAGCTAGGGATGATGGGAGCTGTAGTCAAAAAACAGATGGAGACCTAAGTTTGGGAAACCCTGCACTGGGGCAATGTGGTTCTCTGCCCTAGAAAGCCCTCTAAAAGACAGAGATAGTGGTCTCCAAACAAACAAACAAACAAACAAACAAACAAACAAACAAACAAACACACACTGCAGGTGGATAATTCTTACATACTCCAAAAATAAATGTAGCTATATTTCAAAAGTCTTTGTTCCTACAGTCACTACATACACTGGTAATACAAGAAGGTATTTCTTTGAAATACTGCACATTCCATTCCCTCCCCCCTGTGATTTTTCTTTTTTAAGGTTACTTCCTAGCTCAGAAAGATGTAATTGCACCATCTGCCAACCCTACAGCATTGCAGTACTGTCAAGAGTACCATATGCGGATAAGTCAGCCTGTTGCCCTCTTTACTTAATATACATATATAAAGCTATCCCGTTGAACCTGTGAAATGAAATGTCAGTATCAGTGAATATATCCCAGAATACATTAGCCATCTTTCGGGTTCCGTTGGCTTTGGTGTTAAACAAATTGAAAAAAACTGGTTGGGCAGTTTTCGAAATCTCTGCAAGTTAGAAAGCTCAGAATCAGCCTGAAGTTTAGAATGCTAAGGATCAGGAAACAAGATTGTTCATTTTGCAATCTTTGCTAGGCTCCCTCCAAAAGCCAGCATGGTCCACTAGATATTGTGCAGGAGCCAGGAAATGAGGTTCATCTCCATGAACCATGGTTTGAAGGACAAATAATTATCAGCCTGCTGTTTAGAGTTGCTTGTTAACAAAATCCCAGGCTAGGTGAGGGATGGTTGTCCCTAGGCTGAACATCTGAGAGACTCCAATGGAAAGCCAAAGATATTCAGATAAAAATTGTGGAAGTTTAAAGGGTTCGTGATGTGGGGAACCATGGGTAGACAAGGTGGGCCTGACTTAGCAAGGTGGTTCTTCTGTTTACGGCAGCCTTGGTTAGCAGCATGGGCCTGTCTGTTCACCAACATTCACACCATGCTGTTGCAAAAACAGCACAGCTTGGGCACCTCTACAGGTCGTAAATCTTAGGATAAGCAGCTTCTGACATCTGCTTTTTCAATGGCAAGGCCAGGTGCTTCATTAGTCATTAAACCAAAAAGGAAGATTAAGTGTTGTCTTAAAAAATGTAAGTGAAAGGGAATAAATTTAATGATGTCTCGAGGGCACCTGCTTGTATTTGGAGATTTGGGGTGTGGAGAAGCTGATAAAGAAGGCAACAGAAATATGAGCATAGAAAGAATTGCTTTGAAATGTTATTTCCCCGCCACCTTCCTACCAGCCGTTTTTTAAAAGGGATGCCAGCAGAAATGGAATTTAAGCTGAAAAGACCATGCAGACTTTATACAGAGAAGGTTCCAACTCTCAGCAGCAGCACCCTCTCCAATTTTGTTCCTACAGTGTCATTCATTAGCAAGTAATCCTCAGAGGGGTGTAGGGAAACACATGACATCACTTATTGACAGCCTCCAGCTATCACGGTTTGACAGTTCAACAAAATAGTTATTGTCTGGCCAACTAATATTGTGTTAAATAAAGGAGCTCACATAAATTTGCTGCATCAGATTATAATACATGTTTGCCACGCTGGCAACAAATATAGCAGCCATCCTCAATGTTTCATTCAAGAAATCACTGGAATGCTCCATTTAATAATGCCATTCTTACAAACATTCCCAGCAGGGCGCAAAGCATATTGAGAAACTTGGAGGGAACTTCTGACGTTCTGTTACATGGTCTCCATGGCAGGCACTAAAGCAGCATTAAAACACGCCGCATATTCCAACCAACATAAAACGTAATCTTTTCCCCCCAGCCTGTTCCCACCCTCATCACAGTAGCCTGTTAAGATTCGGGAGAGGCAAAAAGTAATAGAATAAATTTGAGTGTTCCCACAAGGTGTATCACATAGGCATTTCCCAAGCCACTGAGAACAGCACTGAGAGGCTGTTACGAACATGCATTGCCCTTTCAAAGGCAGGAACCAAGTGTGAGGCTTTCGTGGTAGAAACAAGCTTGCTGCGGACGTCACTGCCCAGTTTAACACCTAATAGGGTTACATACCTTTGTTTTTAAATACTCAGCCACATCACCAGTATTGCCAGCTCTGAAAAGCAAAACTGATGTGCTGGAAGACAACCATTATGTATTAACTACCGGTTTTCCATTGCCACATTTAAGGACACAGTTTATTGTATTCTTGAGTATTGTCAATACTCAATTCAAATTGGATACGGTATCTGTGCCTTTGTTGTGGTTGCCACAAGCCCCATCACCCCCTGCCTATCTTACCTAGAACACCAGATTGTCCACAGTTTGCCAAGGGATGCTTGATGAATTGATCTTCGCAAATTCCAGTGTCAGACCCTTAAGTGGTTCAGCACTGACAGAGCAATGACATTTATTATTTTATTTTATTTTATTGCTGAACCTGCAGGGGAGCCTACAATAATGGTGTTCCAGGAGGTGAGGTGGTGGTTGAGCTAAACGGAGGTGTGCCAAGCTCCTGTGGCAGGAAGGCACAATGGAAGTGAAAGGCAGAGAGTGGAATAGGTGAAGCACCCTTGAAGGTGAAGGGCATTTCTAGAAACCAGCTGCTCTAGGTGTAGGGGCCATTCTTGAGGGCACCCTACTGCACCTGCCCAGTGTTGTGGGGGCCCAGGAGAGAGTGGGGGCAAGAAGACCTCCCTCATTGTGCTCCTTCCCATGCACAAGGTTGTGCTCAACTCAAGGTCGATGGCGGAAATAACTCCTTGCACTCCTCATTTCTACCTGGTAAATGAGGGGTGCGGGTGGCGCTGTGGTCTAAACCACTGAGCCTCTTGGGTTTGCTGATTGGAAGGTGAGCGGTTCGAATCCCTGCAATTAGATTAATAGCTCAGGTAGGAAGGTAAATGTGCTCTGGCTTCCATCATGGTGTTCCGTTGTGCCAGAGGTGGCTTAGTCATGCTGCCCACATGACCCGGAAAGCTGTCTGTGGACAAACGCCGGCTCCCTTGGCCTGAAAGTGAGATGAGTGCCACAACCCCATGGTCACCTTTGACTGGACTTAACTGTCCAGGACTCCTTTTCCTTTACCTTTTTTACCTTTATGTTATTAATATAACCTGGCCCTAGTTCAATCAGTTTCAAGCATCTAATCTCTTTCATCCTGGCTCCAGTTGCAACTGTGCTCTCTCTCTCTCTTTGTTTGTGTGATAGAGAAAGAGAGAAAGAGAGAAAGAGAGAAAGAGAGAGAGAGAGAGAGAGAAAGAAAGAAAGAAAGAAAGAAAGAAAGAAAGAAAGAAAGAAAGAAAGAAAAGGACAGGCTTTGCACATCCATTTATGGTGGGAAAATTTTTGTATGGGGAACAATAGTACAACACAGGCCAGCCCATTTCTATTCCATGTTGCTCTAAATCAACAAACAGATGCAGTAAAATCACTGATATGCTGTGGAACTCCAGGACCCAAATTGTTTGTTTGTTTGTGTGTGTGTGTGCTGATGTTACCATAGCTTGTGGATACAGGTGACATTCTTGAAGGGTACCAGAAGCTGATGATTAATCAGGATTAAAGCAGTTGCAAAGGCCTGCTTAGTTGCCTACATCAGCTATGCTAAAAGGCAGCCTCTTCTGTCGTCAACTTTAAAGCAGGTCTTTTTTTTTAAGACACAAGCAGCCATGCTCCTAAATTGGGAGTATGATTAACATCATCCAGCTGACACTCTAATGGTCCCACTTCAAAGAAAACAATCACTCCAACCACCACTGGAACAGCATGGGAGATCTCGAGTGGCCCAAATTACAGAAAGGAGAAGGTAATTTTCAGAAGAGGCAGAAAAATGATACCATTAAAATTAGGAAGAATTAAAGTGAACACCTGTTATGGAACACCAGGGTACAAGAGAATGTGCTGCAAGTGTTCCTAAACAGTTGACAATTCTGCTACACTTGCTAAAATTGTACACTTCAGAGTAGGTATTTCCTCCATTGGGCAGTTTACTTAACAGACTTCCATGTTAACAACTTAGGATATCAGGGGACCTGCACCATGGAGTCTACGTGATGGAGAATCTGTTGGCCTCAATAGGTTGCTGGACTTCAACTCCCATAATTCCTGACCTATGGCCATACTGGCTGGGGCAGATGCTAGTTGGAGTCCACCAACATCTGAAAGGCTAAGTCAGTGCTTTCCAAACTTGGGTCTCTAGCTGTTTTTGGACTACAACTCCCATCAACCCTAGCAAGCAGGACCAGTGGTCAGGGATGATGGGAATTGTAGTTCAAAAACAGGTGGAGATCTGAGTTTGGAAAGCACTGTGAAGTGTCCCCCATCAATGACAGAGATCCTGGCTATACATTAAAACTGAGAGTATATGCTGAGACTTCTGAAATCTCCAACGGACTGTGGCAATAGAAACTAGACACACATCTCCCAGTTCCCTTTCTCCAACCATCGTTTATCTCTTCTTGTCTCTTCTCTCAGTGAAATATACTCAGAGTCGTATCTCTAGATTTGTCTGGCAGGGCAAGAAACCTCGAATAAAATTTAAGATATTAACAGATGTTAAAGAAAGAGGTGGATTTGCCCTACCAGACCTTAAACTTTATTATGAATCAGCCGCATTTTGTTGGC